CCGCTTTCATTGTAATATAGCGAAGACTTTAAGATTGTTTCATGATTGAATCTGAAATAGAAATTTGAACATTTCCACTGGGTACTGCAAGTTCTCCTGTATGGTTCCTGATAGATCAAATGCAAATGTGCTTAATGTACCAGGTCTATTTTGGTGAGCTTACTGTTCCTCATCTTCCTTTCATAATCTAGATCGTATAACTGAAATATTTTAAGCTCAGGTCTTTTAAAAAAAATCATTTTATTGGGAGCTCTTACAGATATTACAACAACCCATTAGAATTTAGATCAAGCATAGTTGTACTATTGCTGTCACCATCATTTTCAGAACATTTTCATTCTTCTTGAACTTTTTGATATCAGATCCCCTTTATCCCTTCCATCCCTCCCTCCCTCCCTCTTCCCCCAGGAACTCATATTATATATTGTTATTATTTTTTGCTGTATCTTACACCACCGATGTATCCATCCATCTACAATTCTGTTAGTTGTTCTCCTTGAGTGGGGTCATCGTTGTTATCAATTTCCCTTCCCCTCCTCTTTCCCCCTTCACCAACCCCTCTTCCTGTACCCTCAGGGAATCATTACTCCCATTACTGTTTCTGGATCTCATGTATTGAACTATCTTAATTCTACAAATGAACATACACAGGTCTAACAAGTTTTGGTTTTGGTTTTTAATTAAGTTTGAGAGCGGTATTTTGAATGACCTCCATGGTCACTTGGGAGTCTTCTTTCCGTAGTTTATTTCATGAGAAAATCTGTAGTCATATTGTTTCCTTACTTTCCTAAATATTTGACCTGAGCAAGCCAGAGTGAGGTGGGGGACAAATGGGGGAAAGGGGTGCTAGACTTGGGCGATGGAAAAACATTTAAGGATATAAGTGTATTTCTGCCTAAATGAATCTCCTGGAAATTCAGAAATTTACCCAAAGCCTAATGGAAACCATATTGTCTCCTATTTATTTTCAGTTTAATTTATTTGGAGATTTGTGTGTCCCATTTATCTCTGGTTGACTATGACATTATTAATAAGAACATCTACAATTTTATCACACCTCTCAAGGCCATCAAGTGTTCCTAAGTATTCGAGTCAAGCTGTCATCAAGAATTCCCTCAGAGGTGAAAATTGAATTTAAGAGAATTTATTCAGAAAATAAGGGGAGAGGGGAGGTTACATCCAGATGCAGGAAAACACCAGTCTACACAAGTGAGAACTGATCCAACAAAAATTTTCTCACACAGAGACATACTTAGTCCATGAAACAAAGAAACTATAATACAGCCATTTGGTTGGTTCTCTTTTGGTTGAGTTCACAAAAAGTGTTGGATTAGGGATAGAGTACAGGCTTCTATTAGATAATTCAGTATAACCATCTAGAAGTTACAGTGATAGGTTTCAGTGAATTTTCCTTCACTATACAGGATTTCTCCATCACAGTTTCATAGCTTTCAGATGGGATCATAAGACCTCAATGGTGGAAGTTTATATCTTTTTAGCCAGTTATCTCAGGAGTATATGAAAATTCAACTTGGTACCTGGATCTCATTGCCCTCAAACATCTTGTGAATCGAAACGCTTTCAATGGTCTGGGACATTTCAGAAAAGACCAGTCCCAAGGCCTTTTCAAACAATTCTCTTTCATTGCTCCTCTGTCATAATAATATATTTATTTGGTCCACTTTATATAAAAGACAATTGTGTCAAGATTCCATCCCCTTTGAGCGTGTATTTTCTTCACATTCCTACTTAATCAGAGAGATAAATTGCTTCTCAGTTTGAGGGTTTCCAGGAATTAACAGAGCCAGATAACAGGAGCCTGTGAAGGAAATATCTGCAGCTGAGAAGTTTCCCGGGCAAGTAGATCAGGAAGGACTTGCTTGGCTCATTAAGTACCGAGTTAATGCAATCATTCAGTTAAGGTCAAAACGAATTTTCTTTCACTATACTAAACTAGAATACTCCTTCAAATCCAAGGCTGGCAAGACTTCATTTCAAGTATTTTAAATATGTTATCACAAGGGACCAGTCCCTGGAGAAGGACATCATGTGTGGTCAAATAGCGGGCCAATGAAAAAGAGGAAGACAGACAGTGGCTGCAACCATGGATTCAAGCAAGACAATGGTTTGAGGGTGATGCTGAAACCTGTTCAGCATCATGGAAATGCACAAGTCTCCACTGACCGATGTGTCACAGGAGCTGGGAATTGATCCCTGGTCTGAATCTTCGGATAGCTACATCTTGACCTTTTTCCTATTTTCTCAATGTCATCTCTCAATTCATCCAAACCCAATCATCAGAATTCCTTTTTAATCTTCTCTGATACCCAAAGAGCCAGAGATGAGAAGAATTTACTGATCAATCACCAGAGACCAAATGGTATCCATGGTGACGTAGCTAGTGGAACACAAAAGAAATTAATCATAAATTCATGATTGACGGGATCCATTCATCAGTCCCAGGAGAGACAACAGAAGCAGTAAAGGGACCATGACCATGACGGGGCTACATACACTATTGCAGATCAGAAAAACTCAGGAGCGGACCCTCCAGCCACCTTGACCACTCTGATTCGGGACCATAAAGTCCTCGTGGCCCGACTGCCACATCAAGAGCAGGTCTCTTCCGGGGAGACTGTCCTTCCTAGGCCGGGTAAGGGCGGTGCAGCAATCCGCTTTGGACCCCTGCCTGAGGGCAAAGCCTTTTATAGCTCAGTCTATAAACAGAATGAAGGCTGATCGCATGTGGAGACTCAAAGTGGATTTAGGACTCCGAATGTAGACCACAAAACAAGTACAGTGAACCCTCGCCACTTCGCGCTTCGACTTCCGCGACTTCACTCTATCGCGGTTTTTGCGTCACAGCACCCACTGCCTACACCCGCTCCTTCAGAGGAAAAAGACGGCAACCCACCGGTAGAGTACATCCCTTAAGTCATTTCATAGGCTATTGATGACAGTATTTGTAAGAACTATGTATGATAATATTGTATGTGAAATATGTAATACTGTAAACTAGATGCCATAGATAATATGATAAATAATAAATGATAATTGTAACGTCCAAAATGTTTTACTGTATTTTCCCTTTTTCATTTAACAAATTGGGTAATACGAGTGTAATGGTGACTAAAGGGTGTTTTTCCATGTCCTCTATGCTCTAACTACGAAAATATTTGATTTACAAATAAGGAATCCTACTTCGCGGAATTTCATTTATCACGGTAGGGTCTAGAACCG